ATATACATTTATATATGTATGTATATGTATATGTAAACACACGCACACGTGTATAGACACGCACATGGTTGCTTGGATGAATACGCATGTGTCATGCAAAAATATAGTAAGAAGTAAAGATTATTCCTTGGAGTTTGTTATCAAAATGTGGTCAATCAAGTGCTATTTGCGGATGAAATAGGTAATTGATGTCTGAAATGAACAATGATTGCAACCTTATTTAATCAAGATAAGACGTAGTATTTACATCGTGTTATGTACAAAGTTAATTTATGTTTGTTTCTGTGTTGATCATGTGTAAATATATTCCATGATCTCATATCTCCCCCCATATATTCTCAAATTATATATACAACATTTTGTCTCTTAGAGGACATGCGATCGATAAATTTTGCAAATCAGTCAAATGATCTTCCCTATTTTTATTTCCATGAGTTCACGCACTGTCGCTGGATAAATGGGTTATTTTTGGCCGTAGATGAAATGAAGGGTCATGATCAGGGAAGAGGATGAAAATGGGATGCGAAGGAATAGGTGAGGAGAGGCCCCGCGCCAATTTATGGCAATCTTCTTTTTTTTTTTTTGGTCCCAGATCTGAATGGATAGCATGGGGCGACGCAGGCGAGCTGTGATTTTAATCACACCTTAAACTTTTAAATCTTCACTTCCCACCAACCAGTACTTAATGCATTGAGCTCCTGATTTTCTCTCTGCAACAAACACTCAAACATGTTGCCTTCTTCCCCTTTACCCTTCCCTTCCCTTCTTCAACTTCTTCCACTTCTCTTTCTTCTATCAGCTCTCTTCCTATCCCTGTTCCTTAGACCAGCTAAAGGTGACCGGAAGCAACCGCCAGGTCCACTGGCCTGGCCGGTTATTGGGAACCTCCACCAGTTGGGTGCTCTCCCGCATCGATCCCTTCAGTCTCTCGCGAAGCGCTATGGACCCATTATGTCCTTGCGACTCGGACAAGTCCCTGCTTGTCGTCTCTTCTCCTGAAGCTGCCGAGCTTTTCCTCAAGACGCACGACGTCGTTTTTGCAAGCCGCCCAAAGAATCAGGCGTCCGAGTTCCTTTCTTATGGCTCCAAGGGAATGACTTTCTCTGATTATGGCCCTTATTGGAGCAACATGAGGAAGCTATGTACTTTGCACCTTTTTAGCGCATCGAAATTGGAGATGTTTGCTCCCTTAAGAAGGGAGGAGTTGGGACAGGCGGTGAAGTTTATTGGGAAATCCGCGGCGGCGCGTGAGGTGGTGGATCTGACGGAGAAGGTGGGGCGGCTTGTAGAAGATATAATGTATAAAATGATATTTGGAAGCACCAGGGACGATAGGTTTGATCTGAAGGGTCTTATTCATGAAGCGCTGAACTTGGTTGGAGCCTTCAATATTGCAGATTTCGTGCCTTTCTTGGCGCCACTTGATATCCAGGTACCGTTATCAACTCAACTGCATATTTACTGTTCTTTTTCCTTCTGATTTATTCAATGTTTAAGTCAGCAAATCTGTCCATGGTGTAGCTATATATATCCTCTCAAATTTTGGTCTAACAGTGGTAAGAATTGAACAGAGAGTGAGATCGGTATATGGAAATTTAAAATGATTTATGTTTTTGTTAAGAATCGAGATGACAGTTTAATCCAAGGATGGAGTTTGGTGGCGTACTGTATCGTAACAGTCCTTAGTTTTTGGTATGGGCGGGCGCGGGCCAAAGCCTTTTCAGCTGCAAAATTTAATAAGCCACACCTTACCGTCACCAAAATCAAATTGAAACCATGCCATGTGGTTAGTTTTAATGGTAGGCCAGGGGCAATTTGTTTTCCCTTTATTATGTTATTCTAAGGGGTATAAGGGGTGTTTGGGTGAAAAACAAATCATAAACGTGATTTTAATTACTAAGTAAGCATTTGAGATCCAAAACTATAGTCAGAAAATGCAGAAGTGTGTTATCCAAAAGACACTGATGAATATTAATATAGACCTTAGGGCCAGAAATCTCTTTGCACATCAGGAATCACACGTCCCTGTATACCATTAATTCCTGTCGGCATTAGATTATAGAAAGTTAGAGGCTCAAGCTTCTAAAAAACAAAGAAAATTTGATAACCAGTTTCAATGTTCATTGCGGTGGAATTTACACAATTTAGATATAGTTTTATGGTCTAAATTAAAAATTTTCAACTGATAATTTTTAAAAAAAAAATCATTTTTTTAAAGTTATAGTTAAAGATTACATTGATTTTGGATTATCTACCTATTAAAGAAAAATATTTTTAAAAAACAAAAATACAAAAAATTAAATTTCGACCGTTCATATTATATTTGAATGTTTGATATTGATAAGTATTATGATATTCATAACTGTAACGAGTACCAAAACTAGTTCAAAAAATTTGCGTGAAAAACAAACAATGTAATTTAACCAATAATAATAATTAATTTTTGGAAGCTAAAGCACCCCTTTTGATTTAGGGCTTTACAAGACGCTTGGTGAAGACAAGCAAGAAAGTTGATGAGATATTGGAGACCATTGTTAGAGAGCATGAAGAGGCAGCACCAGAAGAACAGCATAGACGACACAAGGACTTTGTGGACATACTACTCTCTTGCATGGATACTAATTACAATGATCACCACAACTTTGTCATAGATCGAACCAACATCAAAGCCATGCTTCTGGATACGATTGCCGGTGCAGTGGAGACTTCAGCTACTGTCATTCTGTGGGCTTTCTCGGAAATCTTAAGGAATCCAAGGGTGATGAAAAAACTCCAACTCGAACTACAAAACCAAGTAGGAATAAGTAAAATGGTCGAGGAAGCTGATTTACCAAGGTTGAGTTACTTGGATATGGTGATTAAAGAGACTATGCGACTATACCCAGTTGCACCCTTACTAGTCCCTCGTGTGTGTAGGGAAGACATCAAGATCAATGGGTATGACATAAGGAAGAACACAAGAATCATAGTGAATTCATGGACCATAGGAAGAGATCCTAAGATATGGTCTGATAATGTGGAAGAATTTTGGCCAGAGAGGTTCTTGGACGGCAATATGGACTATCGAGGATATGAGTTCCAATTCTTACCATTTGGTTCAGGTCGAAGAGGCTGCCCTGGTCTGCAATTGGGTTTAATTACTGTTAAGCTTATTTTAGCACAGTTAGTTCACTGCTTTAATTGGGAACTTGCAAATGACAGCTCTCCTAACGAGTTGGATATGACTGAGAAATTTGGACTATCAATGCCAAGAGCCAATCCCTTGCAAGCTCTTCCATCCTATCGCTTACTAATTAACTGATGAATCCTAATATGAGGCCTTTTCAGTTCAATAATGGGTACACCCTAATCCTAATCAATGCAAGACATGTTATTGTAAGAAGTGCAAGTTTTTTTGGTTAGTCATACGTCTATGTAGTCTTTGTGCAAGTTTTTTTGGTTGGTCATACGTCTATGTAGTCTTTGTTGTTATTAAGACCGTAATCCTTTAGTCCTATTTATAAGGTATAGAGAGAATTTTTTTTTTGTTCTATTTATAAATTTTTTTTTATTAAATTTTTAGCATGACTGTACTATATTATTCTTTATTTATAATGTAGATAGCTATTTTTTAAAAAATATATATATAAATAGGATTAAATTGAAAAGGATTGGTATTTTAATTGTTGTGGTATTTTAATTGAGAATTTTTTAGTTTGTATGAAATATACTATAAGTGCCTTATAAATAAAACACGATAAGTATAAATTAAAGTTATGTAGCAAAATCATTTAATAATGTCACGTCTCCTTCCAAACAGAGCCTTTACGAAAGTTCTAACCCAATCTCCCAACCCTGGACGTTTTTTTGGTGACGGGGAAATTTTTTTCGAATTTGTTAGTCATTAAACCAGTTGAGTCAGGTATATTAAACAAAAGGTTGGAAAGAGTAGCAATAGACAATTTTGATATCTCCCATTCATTTTTACAGGAGAATTTGGGTCAATCATTCCACCAAATGGGTCAGGGAGAGGCTTAATTAATTAATTCCATTCCATCCAAACTAATTTGTTAAATTCCATCTTTTAATTTTCTCACCAACACGTGGTTATGTTAATATGGAATATAATGGCAATGAGATCTTAAGGCATAATAGACTAATTTAATTACAATTTGGTTTCAAAATATTTTTAAAATTTCCATAATCCTGAAGACAGTTCAATTTTCATGAGATAACAGCATTTAAGAATTACCACTTATTTAACTTATTCTAGGCATACTTCTTCGTCAACTGAGCTTAGGATCAAGTAAAGAAAGAAAGAAGCCCTCTCTCCTTCGCCCTGCTTTGATATTTCTCTCAATCGCCAGAAGAGAGGAACTTTAATGGAACCAGAGGAATCCCATCATCACAATGACAGCACCAGCGAGCTCGATTTGTTTTTGTCTTTATTTTTTGAAATCAGTTTTGTGTTTAAATTCATCAGATCTGGATTATCCAGATCGGATTACATGGTCTAGATTTAAAATTTTAATTAGTTATTTGTAAATAAAAATTATTTTAAAACATGATAGTTAAGAGATTATTTTACTTTATATTCTATACATATTAAAATAATTATTTTAAACAAATAAAAATAAAAAAATTAAATTTGAATCGTTGAAATTAGATATGAACCGCTCAGATTTCACCTAAACTGCTTCTATTTTTCTAAGGTGTATGTTAGATTTATCTGCTTTCTTGAATGGTTTAGTGAGCATAATAAAATTGACTCTGCTTTGCTTCAAAAAAACATCTGTCCTTCATGGAGGGCGTGGTGTTATTTTTCATTCTTATTCATTACATGGTCAAAATTGGCGTTTATATTTTAATCCGCCCGCTTGAGCTTTATTTTGTATTTTTGGGTAGAACACGACTTCGCTTAATTCTTCATCCACCAACTCACTGGGGGAGAACACCTTGTAAATTCTAATTCTATGTAATTCATTTCCTCTCTCTCGCATCAGACAAACAATAAAAAAAACATGTTGCCTTCCCATCTTCTTCTGCCACTTCTCTTCCTTGTACCAACTCTGTTCCTATCCCTGTGCCTTAAACGACCTAAGCATGACCAGAAACAACCGCCAGGTCCACCGGCCTGGCCGGTGATCGGCAACCTCCACCAGCTGGGTACTCTCCCGCACCGATCCCTTCAGTCTCTCGCGAAGCGCTATGGACCCATCATGTCCTTGCGACTCGGACAGGTCCCTGCTGTTGTCGTCTCTTCCCCTGAAGCTGCCGAGCTTTTCCTGAAGACGCACGACGTCGTCTTTGCGAGCCGGCCAAAGACTCAAGCGTCGGAGTTCCTTTCTTATGGCTCCAAGGGGATGGCTTTCTCTGAATATGGTCCTTACTGGCGTAACATGAGGAAGCTCTGTACTTTGCAGCTTTTTAGTGCATCGAAAGTAGAGTCGTTTGCCCCCTTGAGAAGGAGGGAGTTGGGACAGCTGGTGAAGTCGATCGAGAAATGGGCGGCGGCGCGTGAGGTGGTGGATCTGACGGAGAAGGTGGAGCGACTTGTAGAAGATATAATGTATAAGATGATATTTGGAAACAACAGGGATGATAGGTATGATCTGAAGGGGCTTGTTCATGAGACGCTGAATTTGGTTGGAGCCTTCAATATTGCAGATTTCGTGCCTTTCTTGGCGCCACTTGATATCCAGGTACCATTATCAACTCAACTATGTGTGTGTGTATTTATTTATTTATTGTTCTTTTTTCCTGCTGGTTTATTCAATGTTTCAATCAGCAACGCTGCCCGTTCCTGTTGAATTTTGACCCAAGAGTGGAAAAAGTTGAACAACGAGAGATATATAGCTACTGGAATTTAAAATAATTTATGTTTTGCTAATGAATGCCTACCTTTATATAAAAATTTCATTTTGTTTTCTTCTTTGATTTTATAAATTGTTAAGTTTATTCTTTTAATTTTATAAAATGTTTAGTTGTCTGATTCTAATAATATCTAATATTAATATTAAAATTTTAAATATTAACAAAAGATTTATAAACATTGAGATGTTAAGTTTATTTTTTCACAGTGGTATTTATTTTAAAAAAATTATTAGTTAAGACTAAATGCATTAGAGTTAGAAAAATCAAAAATTATTTTATAAAATTAAAATATCGAACAAAGTTCTTGTACGTACAAGAATAAATTACCAAATGCTCATCTTAACCTCATGTTTTCTCAAGAATTGAGATGAGTCATATTTCAATTTCTTCCAAGGATATAATATATATAGGGGGGCTTGTTTCTCAAACTATCTATATTGCTTAATTATGCATGTTAAGAATAATATAATTGAAGGATAGTTCTAATATAGACACGGTAACTTAGATAAACCAATACATTTTTTTTATAACCAATAGCATATTTTTAACAATTAACTAACTACCTAATTTTTAAAATAAATATCTGCAAATTAATTATCATGCTTTTGTATTAGGGATATGAGAGTACTAATCTATTCATGCGTTACACATATATATAATGCCAAAAATACTAGTATTTCCAGTGGCATTCATTAGTACTCCTCTGGCCCAAAAATAAGATCTTCATATAGTGTATATAAGGGTCTTATACTACCTCCGGTCCTAATTATAAGACCCAGTTGACTTATTTGAGGAGATTAAGGAAGTAAGTTAAGTTGGTTATTTGTAACAAATAAGTGTTGTCATTCCTAAAATATCCTTGCTAATTAAATATATTGGCTAGAGCTATCATTATTAGAAGGATTATCTTGGAAAAAAATGCATAAATATAAGAGACAAAATGGATTGGGGTCTTATAATTAGGACCAAATAAAAAGTCAAATAGGGTCTTATAATCAGGACCGGAGGTAGTATTTAAGACTGGAGGAGTAATTGTTTTTTTATTTGGTGATAAGGTTTAATTAGTCAAAATAGGGGTGCAAATGCGCAATGCGTGGTGTGAGTCTTCATTTGAGAAACGCCAGTGCCCCATTTCTTTCTCTCTCGTTCGTCATAGCCATAATAATGAAATTGGATCTATCTCGATGCACGTTTTCGACGTGTCATCAATAAAAAATGTGAAAGAGAAGAAAAGATGTGCCTCAGCATGTGATTTGTTAATTTTGTTTGAAAAAAACAACAGAGAGAACCAGAGAGGGAAGGATATGGTGCCCTTGTAAAGCTAGGGGGACGCCAATGCAAAATCAAAACGCTGTCGTTTTAGCGACACGCACCTGGATGAACGCCACGTGCTTTCTTTCTTTATGGTTCTTTCTATAGAAGGCTTCACTTTATTAGTAAACATTCGACAAACCAACTAGATTATAGCTACAAAGTCAGAGAGCTCCAGTTTTAAGAAAGCAACCAAAAAAAAAGGGGGGGAACTATAGACAAACAATACAATTTAGGCAATAATCAATTGTTAATATTTTTTAGACTAATTGGAGTACATATCACTTTTGATTCAGGGCTTTGCAAGACGCTTGCGGAAGATTAGCAAGGAACGTGATGAGATGTTAGAAACGATTATTAGAGAGCATGAAAAGGCAACAGCAGAAGGGCAGAATAGAAGACGCAAGGACTTCGTGGACATACTACTCTCTTGCATGGATACTTACGATGATGAGCACAACTTCGTCATAGATCGAACCAACATCAAAGCGGTCCTTCTAGATACGATCGTTGGTGCAGTGGAGACTTCAGCTACTGTCATTCTGTGGGCTTTCTCGGAACTCTTAAGGAATCCAAGGGTGATGAAAAAACTCCAGCTCGAACTAGAAAACCAAGTAGGAATAAGCAAAATGGTCGAGGAAGCCGATTTGCCAAGGTTGAGTTACTTAGATATGGTGATTAAAGAGACTATGAGGCTATACCCAGTTGCACCCTTACTAGTCCCTCGTGTGTGTAGGGAAGACATCACGATCAATGGCTATGACATAAGGAAGAACTCACGAATCATAGTGAACTCGTGGACCATAGGAAGAGATCCTAAGATATGGTCTGATAACGTGCAAGAATTTTGTCCAGAGAGGTTCTTGGACGGCAATATGGACTATCGAGGATATGAGTTCCAATTCTTACCATTTGGTTCAGGTCGAAGAGGCTGCCCTGGTCTGCAATTGGGTTTAATTACTGTTAAGCTTATTTTAGCACAATTGGTTCACTGCTTTAATTGGGAACTTCCAGAAAACAAGTCTCCTCATGACTTGGATATGTCTGAGACATTTGGTCTCTCAATGCCAAGAGCCAAGCACTTGTTAGCTCTTCCATCTTATCGCGTACCAGTTAATTGATGAATGTTATTAATCTCAGTCTTTTCAGTTCAGTAGAAGTATCAGTTTGATTGGTTAGTTATGCTGAAATGGTATGAAAGTTATGTAGTGGACTTATTTTATAATGTCAGGTTTCGTTCCATTTTTCCAAATAAGTTTTCGAAATTGATCACCATTTTTTAACGGAGACTTGATGAAAGTTTTAACCTCACCAGTCTCCCAACCCTTAACGTTTTCTTTGGTCACGTGGAAAATTTTTTAAATAAATGAAAAGAGGAATCGGGGTTTTCTTTTTTTTGGGGGGGGGGGGGGTGAAATTACATTTATTTTAGTTACTGTATTAGGTAGGATAGAAATGAATTAAAAACAAAAACAAATAGAACTGGAATGTCCTGAATATTCTTGCTTAGAAAATAACATATTAAACAAAAAGTTGGGAAGAGTAATAATAGACAATTTCGACACTTCCCGTTCATTTCTACAGAGAACAGTATTTTTCATAGGTCTTACGATAGAAAAAGATTGTTGTAGGATACACTTTCCATTCTACCAAACTATTCGTTAGTCATACTCCAACTTGCTTTTCCTTTGCTTTTTTAATTTTCCCTTTCAAATCAGAGGGCTTATTTGCATTTGCTTATTTTAAATATTTTAAGTATTTTTATGTAATTTGAGATAAAGCTCACTTTACATACTTAGATCGTAATGATAAAATCACAATTAAAAATTTACTTATAAATCATTTCGAGCATAATAAAAGGGTACTGGGATGGGCTCTTTATGTTATATATAGACAGAAAACAGAACATCAAAGCTGACATTCTCAGTAACTCAGTTCTTATAGTTGGCAAGCATATTTAACTCATCACCCAGGTAGGGGAGGAGGGGAGGGTGTCGGAGGCTATGAAACTTGCAAGGATGGAGGAGAGAATTAGCTTGGACCAGCGAGCAGCAGCATCATCGCGATGTCGAAGCGAGAGCAAGAACGAAGAAAGAAGATCAGGGGCCACATGGGAATTTTCTATGTAGGAAAATCAGATCCCAATTCCCACCTATATGTGAGGGAACAGATTTTCCATTAAACGTGGAAAAATTTCCTGCCGCCAGAATTTGCTCTCCCGGAAAGTGGTGCAACCAAAGGGATACTGTTAAGGAAAATTATCCCATTCTCCGTTTCCATCAGTATATTTTCAGGCTACCAAACAGGCTCTAAGGACTATAGGATTAATTTTCCGGTAAATAAAAGTGCAATGGGACCTAAGTTATAAAACACTAGCTAGGACCTAGGGGCTTGTTTAAATTCGCTTTCCTGATTTTAAAAGTCCTTACCAGTCATTTTAAAAGCATGAAAGTCAATTTGAGCTCAAAAATTGTATGCGGAATGGCATTTGAGTTAAACGAGTCCCCCCCCCCCAAAAAAAAGTCAAAATAGACCTAAAGTCATATTTTGGAACTTTCACCTTTATAAAAGCTAAACAGATATTCAAATTGAGAGTTTTTTAATATAAAAACGTATGATTATATTAATTGACTTTATCACAATTTTAATTTACAAAATCCAGTTGGGATAGTAAAAACCGATGTTGATGAAAACAAACCTTAATTATAATTCAGTTTCGAAATATCTTGAAAATTTCCATAATCCTTAAGTCTATATTTCATTTGTTGACAACTAGGCATGACAAAATAATGAATGCTCATCATATGATAATTTACAAATTCAAATTTACATTGTAACATATTCATGGTGACAATTATATATATATTAAAAAAAATAAAGAAACATTAGGAATCAAGAAATACCTTAATTGGATGCATATAATTGGATGCATATGTTTGTTGTATTTCGATCATAATTATGTGTCATTCTACTTAGTTTTAATTTGCATCCATTTTGAATGTCAGAAAAACCAATTTCCATCCATTTTAAAATATCCAACATTAACTTTATCAACAAAAAAAAGTCCAATATTAATTTATTCTCCTATCTATGATGCAAAATAATCTGAACTTAGCTTCTACATAAATAATTTATATTACATTTTTTAAAATAAGATATTTCAACGTTAAAATTGTTAATAACCTAATTGAATATTAAAAAAATATTCAAGTCACAAACTTTAATAAAATAATTTCAAATAAACGGATTCATTCGCGCGCGCCCAATCCAATTCTCGTTATCTAGGATAACATTGTATCACAAGTGAGCATTTCACTTTAAATATATATAATTGTTATCATGAATATATAAAGAAAATTGCAATGAAATTTGGGCATTTTATAATGTAAATTTGCACTTAAATTTTTATTTGATACTTGTTATTTTTGTTATACTTAGTTATGAAAATACGTATAACTGACTAAGGAACGCTCGTTATTTCCCTATCTGAATCTACTAGCATGTAATTTAAAGTTGTATGTGCATTTAGCTGTCAAAACGTATATGTACTTGTAAACGGATTTTAAATTTTCATTAGGACTCGCTTTTTATTTCAACAGTCAGGCTTATTTTTATCAACTTTTCTCCCAACTTAATTTCCCCCCCTCATTTTAAGGAAGAAGTATGAGTTCATATCTTAAAATTTCTTAATTCTCATTGCTCTGGAATATAAATGAAAATATGAAATCCTCCCATTTTTCAAATTCATTAGATGGTCAAAATTGCCGCTAATATTCTAATCCAGCTTGAATCGCACGCGGACGCCCCTATTTTGCGTTCTTTCGGGAGAACACACCCTCAAATTTTCAGACGGTGTTGTGCCCCTTAGATTTTTATTATTAATTTTTATATAAAATGAATAAAATTTGATATAGCAAAAAATATTCCATTTTTAAATTTTACGGTTTTTTAAAATTTAGAATTCTCAAATCTTTAAAAAAGTCATAAAAAAACTAAAAACTGAATTTTGTTTATAAGATATTAAAATTTTGTTTATTTTACATAGAACTTAATAAAAAAAATATGAAAAAAGAAAACATTTAGGAAGCACCCAAAAATAAGCAGCAGAGTGGGGTGCATGACACCCAAGATCCCAAATTTTCACGTCTTCATCCACCGCCAGAGGGTGTGTTTGATTGGAAGGGAGGATGGAGGAGGAGGGAGGGAAAATGAACCCCTCCCCTTATTTGGACGAAAATTTACCTTCTGTTTAGATGAGAAGAAAAGTTGGGAGGAAAAAAATTATTATCACTCAAAAAAGAAAGAAAATGTATATATATATATATATATCAAAATAACTAAAATATCCTTATTATAATCAATTGGCAAGGAAACTAAATAATTTAGCAAAAAAATTATTTTTCATGTAAAAATAAAAAGGGAATAATTTTTTAACTTAATTAAAATAAAAGGAAATAAATAACTTATACATTATCTAATATTTTAATAAAATGATAAAAATTGAATAAAATTAAAGATTATAATAACATGAGAAATTGATATCATGAAAAATGTCACTAATAATATGATTAAAATTAATTTTGATATTTATAGAATAAAATATCTTACATCATGATCACGGAATATTATAAATAAAAAGGTGGACATGCCATTTACATCATGAGCATCATGATAAAAGGTCTATATTGTCTAAACAAAAAATGGTCAACATATCACTATACATTAGAAACATCATGACAAAAGGTATACATTTCCTAAACAAAAGAGGCCAACATGTCACCACATCATAAAAAAATCTATGAATCAAAGAAGTCCAATACCATATCCCTACTTTTTTCAGTGATTTCCAGCATCAACCATCAACCTGAGCTATGTCTGCAACCACAAATAAGGTGGAACCCCAACAAAATGAGTCTAAAATGAGTGCTGTGATTTGTGCGTGAGAGGTGTTGCAAATAGATAAGAAGTAAGCAAGTTACCAGTCTTAGAAGAATCAAGAGAGTGTGAGATTAGGGCTTAGCAACACGGCAAGGAGAATAAGAGCAGAACAATAAAATGGAGGAGATGACGATGATACCTGTAATATCCTTATTTTTATATCTAGAATTTAATTAAATTTATAAATAAATATATTTTAATATTAAGTTAATAAACATTTTTTTGGTGAAATAAGTTAATAAACATTTGGATTATTATTTAATGATGTTTTTGTGTGTGTGGGTGATATTCTAGAAAATTATACCATGGTATAGAAGTCCCACATCAACTAATCACTAGAGTGAAGAAGTTTGAAAAGCCTATATATGAGAGGTAGTAGGTGGAGCTTGGAGTGAGTAAACAATTTTCACACATATCTGAGGTAGTCTCAGAAAAGTGCTAGTTTTGAGTTTATTAATCATTGGATCGGACTAAAATTTGGTCAGTCCATTTAGGACATCCAAATCGTCAATTTCAATGATTGGATTGTCAGTTCTATCTCTGAGTGACAAGTTATTAGATACGTTTTCAACTTTTTTTTAAAAAATTTAGCAGATAGAGTCCTGAATAGTAAATTAGCATTTTAAAATTCGTTGACTGTTAGATTGAACTATAATTGGGAGGATAGTATCATGATAGATAGGAAATTAAATTCAATGATCAGATTAATGGTTTAACTTCTATAGTGAGAATAATCTAGCTCGTATTAAATCTATTTACCTAAGTCCTTTGAAGATAGAACATAAGTTATAAATTGGTGTTTTTCTATTTATGTTATGAATTTGATAATTATAATGATATAATCTAACAATTAAAGAATATTTAAGCAAGGAAAATTTAGGAATTAATTCTAAATCATATATATATGTTCTCATTCCAAACCTTAGAAAAGGTCTTTTAGGCTAGAATCCTGAGTAAAAGTTGAAGCTTTTAGAAGAAGAGTTAAAGGCTAGGATTTTGTGAGTAGCCTACTCTAATATTATTGATTTATCCATAGTCGTATAGGTAATCAAAAATACTAGGGAACAAATATGCAATACAATGATGCAGCCTAGGTATCGAATCCCTTGGTCTAATAACTCTCTGAATGCTTAATGTGAAATCAACACAATTTAAGTAAAATGAGGGATAGAAACAGATCAATATTTCATTTTAATAGGAAAAATTCTTTGTTTGAGTTATAAGTGTAGTAACAAAATGTAATAAAGAAAAGAGTGAGAAAGGCAACCAAAATATTAATGCTTCCAAGAGCTTCACTTCATCTTCATTGCATTATCTAATCTGGAGCTAAGTATCACTGAATGTGCAGATCATTCTTAATCAAACAGAACTTCCATTTGAATGACTCAATTAATCAAACCACAATGTTCAAATCACTGAATTGAAACAAGAATCTGAGTAATTTCTAACTCAAGAATGAATTACCAATTTATCCACAGAATTTAGTTACACAATATTCATTCCAATGTCTGAACAGAGTACAACTAAACTCTATTCTAATGACTCTGCAACTAGCACAGCAATTAAAGATGATAGATGAATATAAACTCCCCCTATAATCCAGTAGCTCAGACTTAGTTTTGCTCTCAGAAGAATCTACAAAATTTAGCCACGCATGATGGAAACTCTCCCTTCTTCAACAGTTGAATACAGTTCTGCCATGGGAGATGTCAGGTTTGGTAATTCCCACCAAAGAAGGAGCAGACAAGTTGGGAGCACAAAAATCAAACTGAACTAGCAAACTCAAGCTCGAACGGAAAAGACTTTCGGGAGAATATACTAGCAGCCCCCCACCAATAGAGCATCTAGTGAATCAGGACTTTTTATTTTTCCGTCAGTCAAACTCCCTCTTTGTCCTCTCCCCTTTTCAGTTATGAATTTCTGAGTGCCAATTGTTACAACCGATTTCCATTAGCTCTTAGCTGGACTAAAAGAGTTTTTGAACCAAATTTCAGTTTCCCACTTCTAGAAATGGATATTCCGGAATCTGAATTTGCATTTTCAGTGGAATCCCTTTTCCATTAGTGATGGAATCTGGTTTCCATTAGCGATGGAATTGTTTTGCTCTAGACTGTTCTTTCCTTCCTAACAGGAAATGTGTAATATCCCAAATTTTATGGATTTAAGTAAGGCATGAGGAAGGAGAAAATTTTTAAAGAAATTTTTGAGATTAAGACACTTAAAATATGATCTAAATAATTATAAAGTTAATTTCAGGAATTTAGGACCTATTTTCTTGGAAAATGCAAGGAAAATAGTTAGAGGATAATTTTTGAGCTGAGCTTTCTAGGATAATTATTTTATGGACTAAAGAAGCTAATGGAAGGAGAAAATTCATATAGATATCCAGGTGTGATTTCTGGAGTTATTTGATTATTCCAAAAAAAAAATGTAGAGAAGGACCAAATTGAAAGAAAAATGAGGACCAAAGGGCAAAATGGACATTTCACATCCCTCATCCATCTAATACGCCCTAACACCTCCTCCCTTCTCATTTTGCTTTGCCATTCGAAGGGAAAACAGAGAGAAAGAGTTGAGAGACTTCGAGAGAGAGCAAGAAGAGCAAAGGCAATAAGAGGAGGGAATAGATTTGTATCAAGGTGGAAATCAAGCAAGGTGAGTCTCTTGAATCTTCTTCCATCTTTGTTTTCGGTTATTTAGTCATGTGTTGCAAGGTGGTGATGAAGATGAAATCTGGTTTTGAGGGAGAAAATAAAGAGGGTGAGAGCCAAGCTATAAAAATTGCACTTACTAGTTAGGATGAAGCTTGTTGATTGCTCTGGTTATAGTTTCTGAAACAGGGGTTTGAGGATTTATGGAAATGACTTCTGGTTTGGGTAATAGATGATTAACGAGACTAAATATAACTAATTATTTTCTGGTTGTATGATTATAATATGTTGATTTTATATGCTCTATGTAGTTATTGAGGGCAGGGGGTGTGCTTTGAATAAGAAAAATTTCAGACTTCACGATGGAAGGACGCTGTTCGATTTTGCTGGTCGAGAAGCATTTGAATGCTAAACGCATGAGCTGTAAATATATATATATATATAGATATATAGAACAAAGCCTTTTGAGACCGGAGCATTAGGAGAAGGAATTGGGCTGATTCTATTTTTACATCTCCATTCTTTTAAGCTGATAGTCTGGGTTCAATATTGTATGATTATAAATATTAAACACTATTATAGGACATTTTGGAGGGAAGGCCGTGAGGTTTAATGGAGGGGGGGGGGAAAGAAAAGAAGGGAGATGTAAAAGATATATATGTGTGTGTGTGCGCGCGCGCGCTTGGGAGTGTCCGTGTCAAATCTGGAAAAATTTTTCTAGATTTGCTTAAGAATGTGGCGTGAAATATAGGAAGGGAAGAGGGATGATTAAACCTCAGTGTAGACATATTAAAGTATTTTTGGAAGCATGGGATGCTGTCCAAAATTGTTTAAAGTGTAAAGATAGATATTGAAATCTGAAAGAAAGTTTATAGATTAGCAAGGTTGCTAAATTATTTTTGGAGACTAGGAATAAATGATCTATATATGATCTATATATATAAATATTAATCTGTCCTTACCTATATAATTTATAGGTTTAGATATTTGTTCAAGTCCATTAAGAAGGGAGCCAAGGAAGAAGCAAGGGGAAGTTAGTACAGAAGAAAAAGCAAAAGGTAGTAACTCTTTTCCTTTAATGTGATTGTGCATTGATTGCCACATGCTTGGATGTGCCTTTATGCTGATTGTGTATGAGAACATGTAAGTTGCCTTTGCATAATAATATTTGTCATGATAATAAGTGCTGGTTTCCATTTATTTTGGAATGTGGGCGCGATAGATAGCGATTAGCTATATGGGTGTATGGTGTATATGCGTCCTTGATTATATTTGGATGCAAGGTGTTGTTTTCTTTGGCTTGTGTAGCATGTTGTTTGTGATCTTGTATGATTACGTGAGGGAAATTTGTTACTACTGAGATTATCTAGAATCTCACCCCTTCTTCCATGTAATACAGCAAGAGCAAGTACTCCTAAGGGCAAGGGAGTAGTGATCAGTGTGGAGTTTGAAGGTGCAGGAAGCGGACGATCTTTTGTATATATATATTTTGCTTAAAATGCATCTTATTTTGAAGTGAAAATATATTGTGTATCTATTTTGGTATGTAAATATTCCTCCATAAGGAGATGGTTAAGGGCAAATAAACCATGGTAACTACTATTGAAGGAAATGATCAATATTTTGATATATAGTTATTATTTCGTCTAAAATTATGTGTATCTGTATATGTAACTCGTTATACGAGCCTATGGCCAGAATATTGAATGTTAGATCCTACTGGCTATAATTGATTTGATATGGGATCCAAAAAGGTTGGATGGAAAAAGAATGGGTTCGATGGTTGAATACGAATTATGGGTCTTGGACGGTTTTTACTATTTTTGTAAAAGGGTTAAATTGAGTACTCGAATCACTAAACAGGTTACTTGAAAGTGAATTTTAAAAGGTTTAAAACTTTTCAGAAAATCCTATTCCTTGAACAGGATCAGACTTTGTATTTGGGGAAAAAAATTTGTCTTCCCAAGGATTGAAACCTGGCTTTTAATGATTCAAGATTAAATAGAACAACTATATTGGTGTATAAAGGATAGTCGTGACAAAATGCATTTCTACTACTTCATAATTCCAATTCTGCCCATGTATCCAGAATAATAACCTAGAAGTAATATCCAACTGTGGAATTTCATAAGAAAAATTATTTGAAATATCTTAAGTGCATCAACATTTTATTCATTTATTAATGAAATTAATGCTCGATCTATTTCTTAAAATAGCCCAAAATATACATTCTAAGCACATGTAATATATGGTTTATGAAATTCCCCCACACTTAAGTTTTGGCACTCCTGGGACAAAATGATAGAATAAAGCTCAGTCTCAAGCACATTATTAATGAAGAATGCTAAATCGTGCTCAAAAATGAAATACTTGTTCATCAACCATTCCCTTCAAATGCCATCAGTCCAAAACAGTCACATGTTAAAACATCAATCACAATCATGCAATTCATCTAAGGGAAGCAAATAGATGATAAGGTCTCTCTCAAGGTAAAAGTGTTTCCCTCACTCTCATAGATCAAGATTATCTCTCTCAAGACTATCTAGTTTAGGCTTCACCATAGGCTTGTAACCATCCTACATCGCCACCACTTATATGCTACAAGGTCTTATGAATCAAAGGGTCTTTGAAAAGGTTATAATATCGGAAAGCCAAATGATGAAATGGAAGTGAATGTTAATGATCAATGAACACATGCTTATGCATTTACCTAATCAAATGCACCTTTTCTATTAAAACTTATAGCTACCACACATACACAAGTTTGAATATGAATAAATTCCACCACCCTTGCCACTTGTTAAACTTCTTCTACTGCTTATGTTCTTCTTCTTTTTTTTTTCTATAGGAAATTCTTTTCTCCATGCCTTATTTTGTTTTTTTAATAATAGGTTTTTTCTTTTCTTTTTCTTTTTTTTTTCAATTGCCCTTTTTAGTGTTTTTTCCTCCAGTTTCCCCCCATAATATATCAATCAGCACATAAATGGCAAAAGAGAAGGAATTCTATCAATGAATCAGCAATGACTAAAGGTAATATCAATGAGTTTCCAATTAGCAAAAGCTATATCAGCACTGAACATCTCTCCAATCAAGCATTTCTGCAACAACGTTTTCTGTCTAGCACGTGCAATGTTCATCAATCATGATGGAATTTAAAAGAATAGTGAAGGGCTCAAGGGGTTAAGTAATGGATAAGTGTAAATGGGCTGTTGTTTGGTCAAAAGGGATTTGAATGGCATGCCCTTCTCATATTCACAATTCCAAGTGCTAACGTGGTCTTGAATTAAGAAATGAGACAAGTTCCAGGAAGTTACCAAGCTAGATGGCATCACATACAATTTAAGAATGAATTAAGGCCCAAAATCCTTCCAACTGGTTTACTCATCCTCATTCACTCACCATGAACAAATTGCATGAGGATTGAACTTAATGCATGAGAAAATCTATTTATGATGCACATTTTCTAGAAATAAATTGATTAAACAAGAAATTCAAACCTAAACAAGCTTTAACAGTATTCAAAACAATGTGTTCAAGGTTCAATTAAATTCCATGACAGCAATGAAAACAATCAGAATATTTCACACTCCCCCCACACTTGAGACAAACATTGTCCTCCGTGTAAAAGAAATGATAGAATAGGGAAAACCAAATTTGCATAGTGAATAGGAGCAAGAGAAATGAGCCAAGCCTAAGCCATATCAACAAACTTTTACTACTAGACCAGTCCCCTCACCCACACTTATGTTAAGCAGTCAATCCCATACATAATATCTTTCAAGTAAATCAAGAAATTAAAGGAACAAAAGGGACAACCGTAGAATCAAAATCTCCTTAGGCTCTTAAAGCAGAAATTCTCATCCTGGATAAGAATCATGAATTTCAGCAATGTGACTTGATCTTTCTCACTATCCTTCTTTGGTGGTGGTTAAGGATCAATTGAGAGAGGCTCCAAGATATATGAGGTGCATTGTTTTTGTGGAAAGCCTTCCAATTAAACTCCTACAAGGAAGAACTATGAGAAGCATCAATAGTATCAATAAAAATCATGCAATTTAATTGATCATGCTTATGTGAAATTAAATCTGGTGCTAAATAATAAGAGAACACCTCATGAGTAGAATCATGGATAAGCCTAGAATTACTACTCATATTAGGAGGACTGTCAACACTAAACTCAAAGAGATCATATTCAATACCACAACCATTTAATGTCAGGTGTTAGGTCACATGAAAGTATGGAATAGAAAGACCCTTGATCATGGTTATTATCATGTGGCAAGAATGTGAAACACTCAAGACTAGCTCTAGTATGCCTAAGCAGATCAATGTCTTTTCTATGTAAGGAATTTTCACTTCTATGTGCAGATTCACTAGGTAACTTATCAATAAATGAAATATCATAGTCATGCAAACACTCATTATTATCATGACATGTAAAAGAAGGATTAATGCTAATATAGTCAATAAAATGGCCCTTAGGTTCATGAGTTTCAGATCTGGGTGTTTCTTCTTTGATAAGGCAGAATGCTTGGGAATCCTCAGATTGCACAAGTAAGGACTTTGTTTGCAATTTCCCATCATTTTCAGCTTGTTGGACAGTCTCGTTTTCTTCATATAGTCCTGCAAAATCATCAAACAAGCCTTTCCTAAGATCGTCATGACTAGAAAAAGAAGAAATAAGATCACTACAAGAATTAGAAAAGTAAAAATAAAATGCATATGGGGTGGAAAGGAGGCCAAATTAACTCTAGAATAGATCCTAAGGGGACAATCATTGCAAACATGCATTCTACAATAGCAATGCACACAAAGTATGGAGTCAATTGAGTTCACACTCTATTCAGCAAAAGTTGGGCTAGCAGAATAAGAATCAGACTCATTGTTGTTCCAGCACAAATCCATAAGATATATTTCAATTTAAAACTCAAAATTAGAGAGCAGGACTATGCAAAGACACCCAACAATGCAGCAAGTGAGTGCATTCAGTAATGCAAAGTTAGAAAACAATGAATTTAGGAAAAGGCTTAGTTCAACAAACAATCAATCTATGAATCACATCTGAACCAATGTGAGAATGGCGCAAGGCAATGAATTTTGCATTAGAAAAATGCAATTCAAGAGTTAAAGTTAATTGCCAAATTCAGTTAATCCTTTTATGTGAGCTTTAAACTCACGAGAGAAACAAATTTTTTATTGAATTTCAGGAGATTCTAGATTAAGCAAGTTGCTACAGCAAGGCTTGGTTAATTCACAGCAGACAAAATTAACTCAAATTCTTGACAACTTGATCAATAAAGGTGACAAGTGTGAGTCTATTCACTCTTGAAATACCAGACAGCCAAGGATGAAGAACCCAATTCAGAACCAAGTTGCTACAGCAGAATCCATAAGTAAAATCTTAACTACTTGTTTATCACAAAACTTGCCAATTTGATTACCAGCATATGACTAAACAGTGGTAAGCACTTAACAAATCCTAGTTCACAAATCAGATTTCAAAAGAATTGTGCTACTAACCAGATTTGCTCCATGGCGTACAAAATTACCATTGGCAGTTCATATAAGTGTCTAATAGTAGCAAAACCTCTTGACTTTTTAACAAAAACCAGTCTCTCACAAAGGGCAGACTTTCAGCAAATTTTTCCTCCCCTAAATCCTGCAGAATATGAATCAGGATTTGCGAAAACTCGGGTTAGGTGTGCAAAACATATGAATCAGATTGTAAATAAATGCTTGGTGACAAAATATTGCATGAAAATTTCACAATAAGCTAAATCAACAGCCACTATTTCACTTAAATCCCAGAGGCAAAAAGCAATAAGGAGCCACTGTAACAATTTTTTTAAAAAAAAAAATTTCTAAAGCTGAGAAAGAATCAGAAAAATATTTATTTTCTATTCCAAATTTTTTTTTCACAGAATAATGAAAATAGCCACTGTTCAAGAGACAAAAATGGATGTACCAAAATACTCAACTCAAATTCTAGCCAATAAAGTAAGAATTATGCTCAAACTAGTGACTTCACGATGCACACAGAAAGCAAAATCACAGAACTTAGAAACTACTACCTCCCACACAGGTTGACAAGTGCAACAGCAAGAATTTTATTGAGTTTCAACAAACCAAACTCGGCTAAACTCTTGAAAACCTTACTATTTAAAATCTGGAATTCCAACAATGCAAGATCACTTAACTCAGAACTCAATTAACTCAAATGATTCCAACTTTAGGTTGTAACCATATAGACTTAATAAATTTCAGATGAAACAGAAAAAAAATTTTAAAGGAAAAAAAAATCAGAAATCATCATCACAAACACCAGACTTTTAAAGCAGTAATATGTCTACCCATATCAACTAGCAACTAGAGCAAATGAGTTCACAGTGACATTTAACAGTCCAAATTAAGGTTCTAGCCACAAATTAATACT